CCTCCTCTCCCTCCTCCCCACCACTCCTCTCCTCCTCTCCCTTACCCCACCTCTTCCCTCCTCTCCCCTCTCCCACCTCCTCTCCTCCTCTCCCCACCTCCTTCTCTCCCTCCTCTCCCCTCACCTTCTCCCCTACTCTCCTTCCTATCCCCCCCACCTCCTCCCCCTCTCCCCCTCTCTCCCCCGCACGCACCTGCGTCGCCTCCCAGCCCCACTCGCGGTACTTGGGATCCTTCGTGAGCCGCCACATGATGAAGTAGGTTTCAAACACCTCCGGACGCAGGATGTAGTATTTCTCCTTCTGATGTACCGCCACCGCCTCCTGACTGTTGGAGAAGCGGAAAGACTCCGGGCCCAGCTTCGTCGCTGCAATGTAGAGGGTTGTGCAATGTAGAGGGAGGGCAATGTAGGGGTGCAATATAGAGATGTAACTTAGGGGGTGAAATGTAGGGGAGTGCAATGTAGGGGGTTGTGCAATGTAGAGGGAGGGCAATGTAGGGGTGCAATATAGAGATGTAACGTAGGGGGTTGTGCAATGTAGAGAGAATGCAATGTAGGGGTGCAATATACAGATGTAACGTAGGGGGTGAAATGTAGGGGAGTGCAATGCAGGGGGTGCATTGTAGTGGTGTGACGTAGAGAGGGTGCAATGTAGGTTATGCAATGTAGGGGAGTGCAATGTAGGAGTACAATGTAAGGGGTGCAATGTAGTTGAGCAATGTAGAGGTGCAATTAAGTTGTGCAATGTAGGTTGTGCAAGGTAGTTGAGCACTGTAGTTGGGGTTGCAACGTAGTGGTGCAATGTAAAGGGTGTAGCGTTGCAATACATGCGCGGCCTCGCTGCGTGGGGTGTGCCTGTAGGTGGCGCCGGCGTACCTGTTCGCGAGTATGACTCATGGCAGGTGTTCGCGATGTCGGCTCCCAGCTGCATGTAGTGAGCGGGGTCGGACGAACCTTCCGAACCCAGCGCGAACATTCCACCTGCGAACAACGCAGAACACAAACACGTCAACATCATCACCGTGGGTTGTTGTTCTTTCCGTGAACATCGCTGCGGCGTTCGTACGCCCGATGGAACGAGCGTTGTTGTTCTTTCCGTGAACATCGCTGCGGCGTTCGTACGCCCGATGGAACGAGCGTTGTTGTTTCTTTCCGTGAACATCGCTGCGGCGTTCGTACACCAAAAGGAAAGATTTTTTTCCAGTAAATATTACAGCTGGAATCGTACAGCACGACCCCCCCAGCTACACGAAACACTGTCTTTAATCGTGAACCCTCCCTCCTCCGCGGTAACAACGAGCCGCCACCTCCTTCCATCGTCTTGGTAACGATCATCCCCTTCTCCCTCCGTCGCCGCGGTAACGACGCCCTGCCTCTGCCTCCTCGTCCCGTTGCCGTGGTGACGATGACATACCTGCGAAGCACGTGAGATGGTCCATCTTGTGTTCGATGCGACCTGACTTCATCTCGGCAAGGTACTTCAGTCCGTTCCTTGATGTCTTCAATAGATTCTCCTCCACTCCCTAGCAGAGAAAGAGAGACAGAGAGAGAGAGATGTCAGCAGTGAGAGAGAGAGAGAAAGAGAGGGTATATATATATATATATATATATATATATATGTGTGTGGT